GCTGGCGGTCCGCTGGCATTTTGCACAGCATTTTCTGGGAGGTCCACCGGTGTTTAAGCAGAGTAATAGGCAAAATTCCACTAATCATCACTCATTTTCCACTCATAGTCCAATTTACTGATTTTTTTCTTTTCTTCATTTCTTTAGTTATACTTTGTAAATTAGTTTAGTAAATAATTTTAATCTATCACAGCGTCAGCAACATTTTCTATAAAATTATTTAATATTAGGCCGAGTCATAATTTTTTTCTCTCAGTTGTTTGTAATTTTTATTTAAGTTTATTTTCCAAAATAAAAGTCTGTGTGCATTTAAAATCTGTTTGAGGAGATTAAAAACTAGTTAGAGCTTGTATGCAGGACAATAATCTGGGTGGTCCGAGGGTGGACCAGCAGTAGCAAACAGCCAGTGGGGTGCCAACCCTATCAAGCCAGCGGACCGATATATGCTCACTGTCTGGGTACCATTACTGATGTAAAAAAAAAAGGTCATATAAACTAAAGTGCGATAAACTTGAAGTTAAGAATTCTGCGAAAGCGCTTCGTTTATCAGAGCGTCGCTGCTCCCCAGTTTCAGTCTCCATTCCCAAAAGCTTTGTGAACTATGCTGCCTGACACTGCATAAAACCATAGAAACGGACGCTTAAACAGAAGTTGGGACACTGTAAGGACAGTATGGAAAGTATTTAGGAGGTTTCGTCTAGTTAGGATGTTTGTGTGATACTGTTTTTTATCTGGAGTTAATGATGAGATTATGATGTTAGGAACTGTTATTCTATAATAGATACTGTCTTAAATTCAGTCCAAACTAAAGTTGTCATGGTGACTCAACAGATAAGATTTCAGACTTCAGAAGTGTCTGTAATACGGCCCCTGGTAAATATTGTGTGAGGTAATTCATCATGTTTTAAAAAATGATTCTTCAAGGGTTATTTAGTAAAGGGAATGGTTCTATTTAGAGTGTGATTCTATGGTTTAGAGTTCTATATAGAACCAGTTCATGCTTAAACAGTTCTTTGCTTGGTGAAATGGCTCTTCAGACTGATAAAGAATGTGTTGTATATGGATCTATATAGAACCTTTTTGAAACTGGGTATATATAGCACCAACAAGTGTTCTTCTATTGTTACAATGTCATGCTTGTGACAGAAGAACCCTTTTTGAAAAGGTTCTACATAGATCCAAATACAGCACATTGTCCATCAATCTGAAGAACCATTTAAGCCTGAAATGGTTCTGTAGAGAACTCATATATAGAACTCTAAATAGATCATTCCGTTTACTAAAGAATCCTGCTGGAACAAAAAAACATTGTGCTTCTGTTGGTTTCTAATGGTTTTGTAATGTGTTTTGTCTTTTTTAATGGGTTGATATCACAAACTAATGGTTTAACAGGTGACCAATGGCTGATTCTTAATGCATTTGATGGTTTCCTAGTGGGATCTAAAGGTGTTCTACAGGAAACTAGTGGTCTCTATTGGAAAGCAGTAAGCCAATTCCCATTAGAAAGCAAAATAATTAGGTTTTAATGGTTTCTCATGGTCCTTTTTCAGCAGCGATATTTTATTTATTTACCATATAACTGCTTTATAACTTTCTTCAGTTTTACTTTAACTAAGTCTACAGAAACTTGAAAAGCTCCGAATCAAGGAGCCCAGCGAACCGAAAGCTGCGCTAACTTTATAAAAAAGCTTTTAAAAAAAGCATTAAAAACGAAGGAGAACATCATAAATCAACCAAACACACAGACTCCGCCTAGAGCTAAGCTAAGATTAGCCTACCCAGCCAGCTCAGTCTTCCTTTCAGAGAAGTGCCCATCATCATCTCTCCCTCCATTTCAAAGAGAGGAGAAACAGTGTGCAGCAGCACTGAGCAGAGCCCGACCTTCAGCGGCGCCGCTCCGGCTTCTCTCCTCCAGCAGCGCTGTGGAAGAACCACTCTGGAAGCAGCTGATGGGAGGATCTCCTTCTCCGCTTTTATTGGGTGTTTCAATCACAGTTACAGGACTAGCGCCACCACCTGGACTGCAGGGGGCGGGAACCACGTGATGACGAAGCTTTTCCCCACAAACCACGTCCACTGTGCTACGATTGGCTAGAAGATAATGCGAACAGTCCACCGATTGGCCATCTGAAAAGTCGTCCACTTCACCCTATCACCCTCAGAACTAGAAGTAGGCCCACTAACCAGAGAATATTACCACAATTCAGCAAGATGTATTTTACTTTATACACATTTTAAATTGAAAAATATCACTTTGGTTATTAAATCCGTTACTTTAAATCATTATGTGAGTTCCTGTAACCAAAACCAAATTCCTAGTATGTGTAAGCGTTCCTGGCCAATAAAGCTTAATTCTGATTGTGATTCTGATTACACTGATTACAGTTTCTGCTGGTTATTAAATCCATTTTATAAAATAATTACATCCATTTCTGTTCATCTTAATGTGAACTTGTTTCAGTGAAGGGGTGGGCGATAATACATATCACAATATGTGAAAATGTTTACATGACACTTTGATAAGTGGACAGCAATGCCACATTTACAGAAATATTGCAAAACGATGAATGTGATGATTATACATTTTATTTTACTTAACCTTTCACATCCTGCCCTGCAATAAATCCAATTAAAACAGCTAAATATGCACTCTTTGTAAGGACACATGCATTTGGTCAATGTTCTTTATGTTCTCACGATATCCACGATGTACTGAGAAATGCTTATCATAACATCATTTATCACAATAGTGATAAAATACCGCCATACTGCCCATCCCTGTTTCAGAGACCATTCAAGACCACTGTTTTAGCACCAGTGCATGCCAGTATGCCAGGCAACAACCTGTGCTCCATTCTGAGACTTAAGTTATTCCCTTTACCTGCTGCATCACCAAATGACTGGACTCAAGACCACAAGCTGAAAACTTCACCTGAGGTGAAATCAGTGAAAACATTAAGAGACCCTTATTAGTCCCACACCAGGGAAATTAAACCTCTGTATTTTACCCATCCATGCGGTGAAACACCACATACACACTAGTGAACACACACACTAGGGGGCAGTGAGCACACTTGCCCAGAGCGGTGGGCAGCCCTGTCCATGGCACCCGGGGGGGGGGGCAGTTGGGGATTAGGCATGATCTGCAGATACAACATCAATCTCTGATTTCACAGCTAACCTGTGGAAACTACACATAGCCAATGAAAAGGCCTGCAGGAGGAGTAAATAGGAATAAATATGATACAAAGCAAATACAGAGATAAACTGAAACAGCATTTCTCTCAAAAAGTGTGGACTCCAGACCACTACAAGTAGAAAACTTCAAATACTGCACCCCCTACTTCAGGATTCCTCATGGGAGCCATGATGATGTTCAACTGTATCCGCTGCCAGAGACACCAAAACTGGCATAAGCAATCCGCACCATCCTTTACATCTTCCACCTCTTCTCCCCACCTGAACCTCCCACCAAAGCTGGTTTCAGCTGGAATGAGGTTGTTGCTTTCTCTGTTATCCAGCCCTCAGGTACAGTGAAAAATCAGTCCACCTTCTCCTCCACCTTCATCTACTGCCTCAGGGGCCCAATGATCCCCCTACACCACACTCACCATTAAAGGATTCAAAGTTGCCAAGCTGAAGCTCAGCCAAATTGACAAAATACTGCAGAGTTACCACAACTTCTGTAGCTTCACTCTCTACCCCATCGTCAGTAGGAGCTCCACCCATCCTCCACCACTGAAAGGGAAGAGGTCACCCCATTTTTGCGTAATCCGATCAACTGATATTTTTCAGGTTTGTGCTATTACAGTGATGATTCCAATAATTATCAGAAACAAAACAACAGGGAGTCTGTGCCAGATAATGTTAATCTATCCAATCTGCAGTATATAAAATGTGAGTCACAGCTCACAGTTTTGAGCAAAGCATACAGGTTTATAAGTTAGCTCTTCTCAATATTAGATCTCTCATAAACAAGTCTTATTTGATTAAGGATTTTATTAAAAGTCTTATTTGATTAAGGCTATTTTACAGCCCATGGGCTTGATGGTGTGCTTTTAACAAAAACATGATTAAATGAATGTAGTGCTGAAACCGTATTAATCGATTCAACTCCATCAAGCTTTAAATTTTGAAATGTCTCACATCCCAGCAAGAAAGGTGGAGGTTTAGCTGCTCTATTTGATGATACTTTCCAATGCAGGCAGTTATCATTTGGTGACTTCACATCCTTTGAGTATCTTTGTGAGGCTCTGAAAGGGGCACCAAAAATATTAAAAGTAAATGCCTCTGAAGTGCAGTGTTAATTTTATTCATGAATGTAAATATATGTTATGTTTTATTTCCACTGATTTTGATCACTTTGTTATTGCTGGTGATTTTAACATCCACACAGACAGTCCCAAGAACAGTTATCCCAATGATCTCTGTGCCATATTGGACGCTTTTGACCAGGAGCACACACTGTCATGGCCACACGCTGGATGTGGTCATCTCAAAGTGTCTCAACATATCAGCCACTATTAAGGATGTCGCTTTGTTTTCTTTGATATGTGGACTTCACAAGCTATCAAGACCAGACACATCTGCTTTAAGAAAAGGTTCATAAATGATAGATAGATAGATAAATAGATAGACAGATAAATAGATAGATAGATAGATAGATAGATAGTTACTTTATTGATCCCGTAGGAAATTTAGCAGGTATGCTTTTCACAGCTACACTTTTCATGAGTAAAATGTGCTCTGACCCATGCAAACCGTCTGATTCTGTTGATGCATTACTGGATAGTGTCAACTCAAAAACTTTCTGTGAGGGAGCTTTTAGAGGTGGACGTCTGGTTCACCACCACAGTGAACAATTCTGACTCAGTAAGTTTCTTTAGAACGGAGCGTTTCACTACAAACCACTCTGAATGACTCTGTTTACATCTTAACCAGTTAATCATGCAGGAATTGCATGAAACTGGAGTTCCCCTTAAAGCAGACTCACACAGGTCTAACAAGTTGAGTTTTATTCAGTGACTGAATCTATGTTCTTATTACAATTCTGAACAGCAAGATATTTTTAGTACAATACACACTCTTGTAAAGAAAAGAGATTAAAAAGTTTACCACCCTTACACAAAATACAGTCTCAAACATACTCCATATCAGAAGAGACTGTTTTAGGGACTGCAGTTATGTAAGTGATCAGACTGTTTTCCCAGGAGAACTAGACAAATGAGTCCTCATCCCTCAAGAGTTTGGAGTCCCATTGTTTACCGAGGATAATTCGATTCAACGCTGAATTTTATACAAAAGCAATGAAGCAAGCCCCTTCAAACAGAAGTCTGTATAAAACAATGAAACTGTATATACACAAGTCACAAGAATAAGGAAGTTGTGCAAAAAGAATTTCTGTACAAAAATAAAGGGGGTCTGTATCTTTTTAAATTAACAATTAATTAAAAAAAACATTCTGTAGAAACATTAGTTCATGCATCAGTAGAATTGAGGATCAATTGGAAATAGTGGCCCATATTTATCAAACCTATTAGAGTAATAATGCTGATCTAGGATTAGTTTATACTGTTTACATAATACTGAACAAACATCCATGACCCGATGAGACCTGATCTTAGATGAGACGTGATCTTAGCAGAGAAATTGTGAACTTACATAAATATATTACACTTTAATGAGTGAAATAAACATTTTTTTACACTGTACTTTTCTAGCTATAGTTAGTTATTAAATGTGTTAATGTTTGTCATGTTTGCTTTCCTATTAATATTCTTTTCTTAAGCTTTCACTTTGTATATCAACATCCTGCCTTTAAGTTTTAGACAACTTTATAAATTCTGCTGTATAATTTGTTTGAAGATGTCTGTACAGTGAATTTTCCCGTTTCACTTGATGTTCAGTTACATGTAACTGTACACTTAAGGAATACTTCATACACAGGAAAGGAGGGAACTGCCCTCAATATTGCAAAAGTCTAAGGCCATCTGAAAGTGATGTGTTAAGTAATTCTGGGCATTTATGGATAAATCAACAAAGTGACAGTTTGTGATTCAGTTTTCGGCGTGGATGCGCTTTAAGTGTCAGAATGAAAAGGCAAATGCAAACGAACATTGGCACCATCTGCTGGAGATTTACTTTTCACTTCCCACTTTGCTTTTTCGTTTTCAAGTTGACCAACATGCAAATATATGTTAATTAGCACTAGGCGGGGCTACAGGGTACATTTTAAAACATCCTCAGACCTCAGCGTCAGAACGGCATCATTCTTTGGACTAAACGACTTTGAGTCTCAGGTCTCAGATCTTGTGTAACTGAACATCAGACCAAACGGTCTCAGAAAAAACTGTGCAAATGTTGTACTCGCCTGTATATCGAGATACACAATAGTTTTCTAAGTTATACGAACCAGTATATACTCAACCAGGCTTGCATTTGGTCTGATACCTTTTTTCTGAGGCTGTTTGGTCTGATGTTCAGAACCATAAGCAATTCGCATTTCAAATTAACAAGCTGACCACATTAACAGCTGCCTTCCGGCAAACATATGTCGTATGTTTCTGCCTCCCTCTTAATGCATTTATGTCTCTTTAAAGTGTTTGGATGTCTGAAGTTCTTCCCGCAGTTTGAGCAGTAATACGGCATCTCTCCCGAGTGAATGCGCTGGTGTAATTGGAGGTGACCCCGTTGGCTAAAACTCTTCCCACACTCTACACAGTGATATGGCTTCTCTCCTGTGTGAATACGCTCATGTTGCTGGAGAATACTCTGTTGAGTAAAACTCCTCCCACACTTAGAGCACTGATACGGTTTCTCTCCAGTGTGAACGTGCTTGTGTTTTTTTAAAGTACTTCTGTCTCTAAAACTGTTTCCACAGTATGAACAGTAACATGGTTTCTCTCCAGTGTGAATGCGCTGGTGTCGTTGGAGATGAGCCTGTTGACTAAATCTCTTCCCACACTCTGCGCAGTGATACGGTTTCTCTCCTGTGTGAATGCGCTGGTGTCGTTGTAGACAGCTCTGCAGGGTAAAACACTTCCCACATTCTGAACAGCAGTGCGGTTTCTCTGCAGTGTGAATGCGCTGGTGTCGTTGTAGACTACAATGCTGGGTAAAACTCTTTCCACACTGTGAGCAGTGATACGGTTTCTCTGCCGTGTGAATGCGCTGGTGTATTTTGAGAGTACCTTTCTTTTTAAAACTCTTCCCACAGTCCGAGCAGTAATACGGTTTCTCTGCAGTGTGAATACACTGGTGTCGTTGAAGATTACTCTTCTGATTAAAACTCCTCCCACACTCTGAGCAGTGATACGGTTTCTCTCCAGTGTGAACGCGCCAGTGTGCTTTGAGATTACTCTTTTGATTGAAACTCTTCCCACAGTCCGAGCACTGATACGGTTTCTCTCCAGTGTGAATGCGCTGGTGTGCTTTGACGTTGCTGTTTTGATTAAAAGTCCTCCCGCAGTCTGCGCAGCGGTGAGTTTTCCTTTTGTATTTATTATCCTGTGTTCTTCTCTCAGATGTATCAGAATGGACAGTACTAGGGGATGGTTGGTGAGTACTGGAGCTTGTTTTGGATGCCATGTTTCATATGTATTTTCTCTGGATTCCAGCAGTGAGATGTATTGCTCATTGGCATCTCCTGATGTGCTTGAGGAAATGAATTTAAACCGTGCAGGAAGGTGGACACTAGAAGCAGGAAAGGACTTGCATCAGGACATCATCCATTTCTGGAGGAGAAAATGAAAAAGACGAAAATTAATTTAAAACTTGATGTGAAATGCAACCAAAGCTCATCTCATTCTATTCTATTCAATAGACCAAAGAAAACTCCCACATGCGTGAATGAGCAGTTTAATGGCACTTTAGGTTGTAAGGGAAAATAGTACAACAAATCATGCAACCTTGATCAGTCTTCTAACATCAAGACCGCTAGATGGCCGATCTCATATGCATACTGCAGTGCAGAGCCAGTCTTCTGTGCTTCTTTTGCCCCAATGTACATGTTCATGGCAAAAACCGAGGCACCTGATGCTTTCAAGAGCTTGATTGCAGTCTTCTCTGACAGAGAAGGTGCTAACACTGATCGGGCATAACATTATGACCACCTCCTTGTTTCTACACGCATTGTCCATTTTATCAGCTCCACTTACTATATAGGTGCACTTTGTAGTTCTACAGTTACAGACTGTAGTCCATCTGTTTCTCTGTATACTTTGTTAGACCCCTTTTACCCTGTTCTTCAGTGGTCAGGACCCCCATGGACCCTCACAGAGCAGGTACTATTTGGGTGGTGGGTCATTCTCAGCACTGCAGTAACACTGACATGGTGGTGATGTGTTAGTGTGTGTTGTGCTGGTATGAGTGGATCAGATGCAGCAGTGCTGTTGGAGTTTTTAAACACTGTGTCCACTCACTGTCCACTCTATTAGACACTCCTACCTTGTCAGTCCACCTTGTAGATGTAAAGTCAGAGACGATAGCTCATCTGCTGCTGCACAGTTTGTGTTGGTCATCCTCTAGTCCTTCATCAGTGGTCATAGGATGCTGCCCACAGGACGCTGTTGGCTGGATATTTTTGGTTGGTGACTATTCTCAGTCCAGAAGTGACACTGAGGTGTTTGAAAACTCCAGCAGCACTGCTGTGTCTGATCCACTCAGACCAGTGCAACACGCACTAACATACCACCACCACATTAGTGTTCCAGCTGTGTTGAGAATGATCCACCACCCACTGGAAAAACGGACATTATCTGCTTTTTGTAGGGTTTGGCTGATTGAGGCCAGGAGAACTGTGATACCTCCTAGCTTGCTGCAAGATACTTTTGAGTGTATCAGGCCATCAAGGAATTTCCAAGTGCTTAGCCACAGTGGTGGTGTAGGGGCTAGAATAGGAGTGTCCAATCTTATCCGCAGAGGGCTGGTGTGGCTGTAGGTTTTCACTCCAACAAAGCAGGAGGTCACCTGATGAAATGTTTGAAGACTAAGATCAACTGATAAGTAGAATCAGGTGTGATCCAGCTTGTTTAGAGTTACAACCTTTGCGGATAAAATTGGACACCTGTGGGCTACAATAACTAAGCCAGAAGTGTCTGATATTATCGGTGAAGGGCCAGGAACAGGACCAGGGCCAAGGCCATGCCTGATTCTACTAGTTCAATCAGCTGGTCTCACTCTGTGTTCCTGTTTTGTAGCAATGAACCCCAATAAGGGCCAGTGTGGCTGCAGGTTAAGACTAGACACCCCTGAACTAAGCAGATCAAAAACACAGTGAGCAAATGGGCAACAGGCAGTCACAATGCTCCACATGCTCTGCTGATCACATCTTTACCCTCAACAAGTAGCAACAGACCTCTTGCATTGGGGGAATGTACGCTATTAGAGATTTTATTAAGGACTACATCACTGAACATGTGACCAGTGGCACCAGTTATCCCCAAAGCTGTGGGAAGAGTGAAAGCCTTATGGTGTGCAGCGGTAGTCACTACTCTTGGAGATGTACCTTCTTGGAGAGTTTAGTTCCAACCTGCATTGTCCTCCCTTGCCTAGCAGCAATGCATCTGATCCAGCCAATCAAGGACTTCTGAAGAAGTTAATTAGCAGGAACAGATGCAGCAGATCTTGGATGGAATTGGACTCTGCAGGAAGGTAGATCTCCTGGACCAGGGTTGATGAACACTGGTTTACAGAATCACTTCTACACACTCTTTAAAAAGATGGTTCTTCAAAAGGTTCTTTAGTAAAGACAATGGTTCTATATGGAACCATGAACACTCAAAGAACCATTTGCAGGCTTAAATGGTTCTTTGCATGGTAAAATTACTATTCCAATTGATGGTAAATGTATTGTAAATGGTTCTATATAGAATCTATATAATCTATAAAACCTTTATGTGGCACCTTTATGTAGCACCAAAAAGGTTTCTTTTGTTACAAGCTTGGCATCATAACAGCAGAACCGATATAGACCTATATACATGGTGCAATACATAGAACCATATACAATGCATTCTGTGTCAATCTGAAGAACCGTTTCACCATTCAAAGAACCATTCAACCATGCAAATTCTTTGAGTGTTCATGGTTCTACATAGAACCACTGTCTTTACTGAAGAACCCTTGAAAAACCATCCTTTTTAAGAGTGTAGTGGAGAAGAAAGATGAAGCTTCCCACCACATTTCTCTTTATGTCTGTATCTACATTTCATACTGTTTATATCTGCAAAAGTGTTTGGAAGCAACGTGTCAAGGTTTGCCAGGAAGCATCACAGCTCACTGAGTCTCCACTACAAGATCATTGATTAGCAGCGCTGATCTCTAAACCCAACTAGAGACCCTAAACAGACACACAGGTGAGCTGAGGAGCTAAGGGCTAACATCAGCCTCCTCAGCAGCGTCTGGAGGAAGGCAGCCTCCATTAAGGCTCCGTCCAACTTTAAAAATCCTCCCCCGAACATCTCTGACAGTGTCGGTGAGGAACACCCTGTGAAGAAGAGTTGAAGAGCTCCTTACTGTCCACAGCGCAGCTCCTGTTTCTCTCCTGCCACAGCGGAAGATTCAGGCCCGTTTCCGGTTATCCCCGCCTACTAATTTCTGATTGGCTACTAGTCAACATGAGCATTCCGCTGATTGGCCAGCTGAGAAGTCCTTCACAGCACCATCGAGTTAAAATAGTGCCGCTCAGTTTAGCGAAAGGGGTCTGAGGAGCACTGGAGGCTCCACTGCAGTTAGAAACCGGAAGTCTAACAGACGGGTTTCACTCAGTGACTAGTTTTACCCATGATTCTTCTTTCTAATGAGAATTTTACTAATGGTTACCATTAGAGGTTTCTTTTTACATTCATGTCAGCTCAGCTGGATACTTCTACATTACACTGAGGTCTCGATTTGTGGCAAGTGCTCTGATGGAGGGCCTGACTACCCGGCTCAAAAAAGACCATTAGGATTAAAACCTGATTAGAACTATTAGACCATTAGAACAACTACGATTAAATGATGACCACTGATGACCACTAGAAGCGTGGTTTTTCGTTCTAATGGGAATCGACTTAATGGTTACCATTAGAGACCACTAGTGGCCTTTAGGACACCGTTACATCCCATTTAGGAAACCATCAAATTCATTTAGAATCAGAACCCCAGTTAAATCATTAGAGTCTTTTACACTGTGATATCAACCCATCAGGAAAACACTACAGTGTTATAGTGTTTAGGTATAGTGATAGTCACTAAAGTGACCATTGGACACCAGCAGGAACCAACAGACACTTTTAACGGGTTCTATGATTTTTTTTTTCAGCAGGGTATGAGGTGACCTACAATAACTTGGCCATAAATATAGGACATGTATACGTATACACACACACACACACATTTTCTAAAACCGCTTATTCTTCTTGGTCGTGGGGGGAGCTGGAGCCTATCCCACCGGTCACTGGACGGAAGGCAGGTAACACCATGGATAGGCCACCAGTCCATCACAGGGCAGACACACAGACATATACACTCACACACTCTCACACCTAGGGACAATTTAGCATGTGCAATTGGCCAGAATGCATGTCTTTGGACTGTGGGAGGAAGCACCCAGAGGAAACCCACACAGACACGGGGAGAACATGCAAACACAGAAAGGGCTCTGGCCGCCCGACCTGGGATTGAACCCAGGCCCTTCTTGCTGAGTCAACAGCGCCACTGTGCTGCTCTCTCTCTCTCTCTCTCTCTATATATATATATATATATATATAGCTATAGCTCTAGGCATATGTTTTTCTGAACCACTCCTTGTAATGAATTGCTTTCTTTTCATGCAAAATCATTGTAAATTCAGACTGTGTTCAGGTTTTCTTACACAACTTTATTATTTTCATAACTTTGTTATTATATATTGCTGCGTTTTTGAGTCAGCGTCTGTTGTAATGTGCTTCAGAAATAACATACATACTTACATACATCATCTAAACCGCTTATCCTTCTGGGTCGCGGTGGGGTGCTGGAGCCTATCCCAGCTGTCATTGGGCAGAAGGCAGGATACACCCTGGACAGGTCGCCAGTCCATCGCAGGGCATCAGAAATAACAATTAAACATTAATTATAAACAAATCCCCTCAGACAGAACCCTAATTACGTAATTTAGAAAGAAATCAAAAAGTTCATTTTCCTCCCTGAATAAAACTTTATTAATCTTTCATGTTTCAGTGAAACAGCATTTTAGATTTTATCGGTAAATCAAGATGATCCCAACGTTGACACCAGATAATGTGATACCAGATTTCAACAGCATTTCATTACATTTTGGAGGTGTGGTGCCACCTCTGTTATATGTTTAAAAGAAACCATAAGGAACTAAAGATACAAAACAAAAAGTATAGCCATTAGGCCTAATAATTACAATCATAGATATGCATAGTAATCACAAAATTACACAATCATACAGGCAAGGAAAACCAGGGCCTTTTTCTTACAGTATTATCAACTGCATTCATTAGAAGCTTTTTAACTGGTAAACATATTACACCAATGAACTGGTGACTGTAGGTAAACTACACCGATCAGGCATAACATTATGTCCTTGTTTCTATGCTCATTGTCCATTTTATCAGCTCCACTTACTATATAGGTGCACTTTGTAGTTCTACAGTTACAGACTGTAGTCCATCTGTTTCTCTGATACTTTGTTATCCCCCTTCTACCCTGTTCTTCAGTGGTCAGGACCCCCATGGACCCTCACAGAGCAGGTACTATTTGGGTGGTGGATCATTCTCAGCACTGCAGTAACACTGACGTGGTGGTATGTTAGTGTGTGTTGTGTTGGTCTGAGTGGATCAGACACAGCAGTGCTGCTGGAGTTTTTAAACACTGTGTCCACTCACTGTCCACTCTATTAGACACTCCTACCTTGTCAGTCCACCTTGTAGATGTAAATTCAGAGACGATAGCTCATCTGCTGCTGCACAGTTTGTGTTGGTCATCCTCTAGTCCTTCATCAGCGGTCACAGGACACTGCCCACAGGACGCTGTTGGCTGGATATTTTTGGTTGGTGGACTATTCTCAGTCCAGCAGTGACACTGAGGTGTGTAAAAACTCCAGCAGCACTGCTGTGTCTGATCCACTCATACCAGCACAACACACACTAACATACCACCACGTCAGTGTTACTGCAGTGCTGAGAATGATCCACTACCTAAATAGTACCTGATCTGTGAGGGTCCATGGGGGTCCTGACCACTGGAGAATAGGGTAGAAGGGGGCTAACAAAGTATGCAGAGAAACAGATGGACTACAGTCTGTAACTGTAGAACTACAAAGTGCACCTATATAGTAAGTGGAGCTGATAAAATGGACAATGAGCGTAGAAACAAGGAGGTGGTCAGAATGTTATGCCTGATCGGTGTATACTTACACACTGGAAACTCCAGATGATGACCCAACTGTATATGCATACAACTCAAATAAGAGAAAGTTTTAGTTCAGTACTAACAGCCGCCCTCTGATGAACATATGTCATATGTTTCTGCATCCCTCTTAATGCATTTGTGCCTCTTTAAAGTGTTTGGGATGTCTGAAGTTCTTCCCACAGTCTGAGCAGTAATACGGCATCTCTCCCGAGTGAATGCGCTGGTGTATGTGGAGATGACTCTGTTGACTAAAACTCTTCCCGCACTCAGAGCAGTGATACGGCTTCTCTCCGGTGTGCATGCGCTGGTGCTGTTGGAGAGTAATCCGCTGAGTGAAGCTCTTCCCGCACTCTGAGCACTGATACGGTTTCTCTCCTGTGTGAATGCGTTTGTGTTTTTTGAGAGTACTTCTGTTCCTAAAACTGTTTCCACAGAATGAACAGTAGCACGGCTTCTCCCCAGTGTGAATGCGCTGGTGTAGTTGGAGATTATTCTGTCGACTGAAACTCTTCCCACACTCTGCACAGTGATACGGCTTCTCTGCGGTGTGAATGCGCTGGTGTCGCAGTAGGAAACTCTGCAGGGTGAAACTCTTACTGCAAACCGAGCAGTGATATGGATTATCTGCTGCGTGAATGAGCCGGTGTGATTTGAGATTACTCTTCTGATTAAAACTCCTCCCACAGTCCGAGCACTGGTACGGTTTCTCTCCAGTGTGAATGAGCTGGTGTGCTTTGAGATTACTCTTTTTATTAAAACTCCTTCCACACTCTGGGCAGGGGTGAGTTGTCCTCTTGCCTGTATTATTCTGTGTTTCAGAATGGACAGTACCAGAGGAAGGTTGGTGAGCACTGGAGTTTGTTTCGGAAGCCACTGTGTCACATGTATTGTCTCTGGCTTCCAGATGTATTGATCTTGTTGGCATCTCCTGATGTGTTTGAGGAAATGAATTTAAACCGTGCTGGGAGGTGGACATCCGAAGCAGGAATGGACTTGCATCATGAAGTCAGTCATTTCTGGAAGAGAGGGATAAAAAAATCTCAGTGTGAAATGCAACAAATGTTTGCTGATGAGTTCCATCACTTTGAATTTTCAGGGTTTTTTACAACCTTAAACCCAAAAGAAAACTTGTTGAGTTTAGTAATTTGGCAAGTTGCATTTGCAGATTTGAGAGGTTCTGAATAGCCACAGGTCTCAAAGAGGGAAAAGTACCAAATTTACTTTCTCATGTTTACTATGGACGGTGAGGCTGGACATATCTTCATCACATTAGATCTAAACAGACGAAGAAAAAATCAATACGACAAAGGCAAAGAAACCTTAGAAAATAATTTCACATGCACACACACTGCAATTTATAAAAAGGCCAAATTTAACAAAAGGTGTCAAGACCCCAATAAAACTATTGCATTTATTACTGCCAAAATAGCAGAACATGGCTAGTAGTGTTCTTCAGTAGGAGAGACAGACTGACTACACACGAGACACTGTGAAAACCAGAAAGGAGCAACCAATGAGATGATTAAGTGCAGACCCAATCCAAATACAGTTCGGGTTCAAGACCAAAACAAAAAAATTGCATAATAAAAAGGTGATAAGTACAACTGAAAAATTCACATGCTGAATATAACAAAACATGTAACAAAGAATATACTGCGATTCAGAGCCAGGCCTCTGCACTTCTTCTACCACAGCATATCAAGCAAAAAATCTGGTGGCACCTGATGCTTTTTGAAGATCTTCTGGCAGAGTCTGCTCTAACAGAGAATAAGCTGATTCTTGGGAATGCTGTAGTAATTCTTATCAAATGTGTTGACCGACAGTTGTTGTATACTGACACAAATCTAGCAGAAATAAAAAGGCTTGAGAGGAGGATAAGCAGACATCTCCAATGGATTAAGGGACGTTATTAGGTATGTAAGTATGGACTGAGGTTGGGGATGACTGTGCATGTGACCACTAGCAGCCCTCATTATTCCCAAAACAAAAGTAATGAGGGGCCATAGTGAGCTGTGAGAACATGGTTTTAAATATAAAACCATCACATGGTGCTCATGGTATACAGAATATACACAGACTGGCCACTCCATTAAGTAAACCTCCTTGCATCTACACTTCTGCTGGAGTTTGAAACACCTCAGTGTCACTGCTGGACTAAGAATAGTCCACCAACCAAAAATATCCAGCCAACAGCGTCCTGTGGGCAGCGTCCTGTGACCACTGATGAAGGACTAGAGGATGACCAACACAAACTGTGCAGCAGCAGATGAGCTATCGTCTCTGACTTTACATCTACAAGGTGGACCGACAAGGTAGAAGTGTCTAATAGAGTGGACAGTGAGTGGACACAGTGTTTAAAAACTCCAGCAGCACTGCTGTGTCTGATCCACTCAGACCAGCACAACACACACTAACACTGTCACTGCAGTGCTGAGAATGACCCACCACTCAAATAATACCTGCTCTGTGGGGGTCCATGGGGGTCCTGACCACTGAAGAACAGGCTAACAAAGTATGCAGAGAAACAGATGGACTACAGTCTGTAACTGCAGAATGACAAAGTGAAACTATACGGTCAGTGGAGCTGATAAAGTGGACAGTGAGTGTAGAAACAAGGAGGTGGTCTTAATGAAGTGGCCAGTCAGTGTATAGAGTTACTTCTCCAGTGGACCAAAAAGCTTCTCACCACTTTTGCGAATAAAACTGCACATTTATATTCACTTTATATCCGTATCTGTTCACATTTTGAGTTAAGCTTTGCCAGGAAGCATCACAGCTCACTGAGTCTCCACTACAAGATCATTGATTAGCAGCACTGATCTCTAAACCCAACTAGAGACCCTAAACAGACACACAGGTGAGCTGAGGAGCTAAGGGCTAACATCAGCCTCCTCAGCAGCGTCTGGAGGAAGGCAGCTTCCATTAAGGCTCCGTCCAACTTTAAAAATCCCCCCCGAACATCTCTGACAGTGTCGGTGAGGAACACCCTGTGAAGAAGAGTTGAAGAGCTCCTTACTGTCCACAGCGCAGCTCCTGTTTCTCTCCTGCCACAGCGGAAGATTCAGGCCCGTTTCCGGTTATCCCCGCCTACTAATTTCTGATTGGCTACTAGTCAACATGAGCATTCCGCTGATTGGCCAGCTGAGAAGTCCTTCACAGCACCATCGAGTTAAAATAGTGCCGCTCAGTTTAGCGAGAGGAGCTTCAGCAGCCCTGGAGGCTCCACTGCAGTAAGAAACTGACACTGAGGACTAATAAAAGTGGAGATAAAGTTTTCTTAATATAGTTCTAGTAGAACTGGTGATGACAGAAATGTCTGAGAAACATTAGTTCATGCATCAGCATAAATTTGGATCAGAAATATATGTATATATAAACACACATATATGTTTTGTTAAAAAAAAAGTCTATATATATATATATATATATATATATATATATATATATATATATATATATATATTTAGTCACTCAGATGAAACCTATAATCTAACTGTACCGTAGTACAATTTGTCTCTTGTCCTGTTCTATCCTTCACATTCTGGGGGCACGATGGTTCTGGAGGTTGCCTTGGCTGGGCTAAATGCAGGCCTTTGTTGTCTATAGGCCATTTCTTGGTCCAAGTACAGAGAAGTCTGGCACATAAATTTATTCTAAGCCTGCTGAAATCTGGTCAAAAGCACATACAAGACCTCTACTAAATTCTACATTGCTTTTCTAAATTATTAAGTGCTTTTAGTGACTCACATGAAACACACCTAGAATCTAACTGTACTGTAGCATAATTTGTCTACTGTCCTGAAACGCAACATTATACAGTGGCGTCATGCAACACTGTGCTCCTTCTGTGGTGCTGTGTGCCATTCATCACTGTTTTGTTTTGCCTTAAATTACATTAAATATTTATTTCTATATTTTTTCTCTATTCTGGGGGTACAATGGGTCTGGAAGCTGGCATGGTCTGCGCTGCAACAGTAGTGTGGATAACGGCTAAATGCAGGCAGGTGCAGGCCTTTGTTGTCTATAGGCCTTTTTTCTTGTGGTCCAAGCATAGAGAAGTTTGGCAAATACATTTATTCTAAGACTGCTGAAGGATAACAATGTCATGGCCAACTGAACAACGCGGGTAAGCTGACACTGCAGCTTCAGAAACATCGGCCGTCAGACCTGCCAGACCCAAAGGTGAAGGGGTAATTAATGTCCAAATCTCCAAAGTGGAAAAATGTAAGTTTTCACTGAAGGTGGTTTATCAGCTTACACACCGAAAAAGATTCACCAGTAACAAAAGCTTATCTGACTGTGGTAGGTTGTATTTGAAGCTTATGACATATTCTGATCTCTGCCATCTTCAAAATATGTCTCACAGAAACATGATGCCAGATTTCAAAAGCATTTAATCAAATTTTGCCTCACTGGTGCTACATTTTTAAACAAATGATAAGGAATTGAAGACACAGAACTAAAACTTACAGCCATTAAGCCATAGTAATTAGTCATACGCATAACAATCACAAAATTATACAATCAGATAGGCATACTGTACCTTTGTTCTTATAATATTAATATTCGCCTTCATTAGAAGCTATTTAACTCTTAAAAATAAATGTTATATTATAAATCTTAACCTAAAACCAGTGACTTATCAACTGGCAACTGGTGTTTGCATAATAATCACACAGTCGTATAGGTATACAACATACAAGTCTGGACCTTTTTACTTACAATATTAACAACTGCCCTCTGATGAACATATGTCATATGTTTCTGCCTCCCTCTTAATGCATTTGTGTCTCTTTACAGAATTTGGATGTCTGAAGTTCTTCCCACAGTCTGAGCAGTAGTACGGTTTCTCTCCTGTGTGAATGCGCTGGTGTATTTGGAGATTGCGGTGTCGTTTAAAACTCTTCCCACACTCTGAACAGTAATATGGCTTCTCTCCCGTGTGCATCAGCTGGTGTTACTGGAGATGAGCCTGTTGACTAAAGCTCTTCCCACACTCTGAGCACTGATATGGCTTCTCTCCTGTGTGAATGCGCTGGTGTCGTATTAGGCTGTTCTGCTGGGTGAAACTCTTCCCACAGTCTGAGCAGTGAAAAGGTTTCTCTGCAGTGTGAATGCGCTGGTGTCGTATTAGGCTGTTCTGCTGGGTGAAACTCTTCCCACAGTCTAGGCAGTGATGCTGCTTCCCTACAGCGTGAATGCGCCGGTGTGTTTTAAGAGTACCTCTTTTTCTAAAACTCTTCCCACAGTCTGAGCAGTAATACGGTTTCTCCGCTGAGTCAGCACACTGGTGTCGGAGGTCACTGTTTTGATTTAAACTCTGTTCACACTCTGAGCAGGGGTGAGTTGTCCTCTTGTCTGTACTTTTCTCTGTCCGCCTGTCAGATGGATCAGTGTGGACAGGACCAGAGAGAGGATGGTCAGCACCGGATCTTGTTTTGGATGCCATTATCTCATGTTTAATGTCGTCACATTTCCACAGTGTGACGTATTGCTCTTGTTATCACCTCTTGATGTGTAAATAAATGTAAACTGTGTGGGAAGATGGGCACTAGGAGCAGGGAAAGACTTCCCTGACGTTTCTGGAATAGAGAAAGAAAAAAAAAGTTTATTTGCAACTTAAAGTGAAATGCAACAAAAACATGTTGTTGAGTTGAATTCATTTCATTTTATTTAATTAGACTTTTCCAATTTTTTTTCTTTATTCCCACCATAAGCCGAATACAAATTAGATTTGACCAGTTGCATTCACAGATTTGAGAGGCTCAAAATAGCCTAGGGTCTCAATGAGAGGAGTGAAAATATCAAAACGTGTAACATTTTCTACATTTAGCATGTCAGCTTTAACAAACAAAGAAACAGAATCAATATGACAATATGAAAGTCAAAGAAGCTTATGAAAAAACATTTTATGTATAAATGCAATGCAATCTATGAAAGGACCAAATGTAACAAGGGGCGTCAGTGAGACCGCAGAACACTGTCAATATGGTGTAGTTCAGGAGGAGAGACAGACTGAATGTAGGCATAAGAGTGCATGCATTGTCGGTGATAATACAGTAAGAGCAAGTAACTCTTAGCAAAGCAATCACCAAAATAAGTGAGGTAATCAAAAAGCAGCAAGCAACATTGAAACGATTAAGCACAGAACAAAACAAGGCAAATACAGACACAATGAGGTTTGGGGCCAGAACAAATATTGCACAGGAAAAAACTAGACAAAAAAAAAACATAAAGAAATCACACTGTACAGAATAAGGGGTGGGGAAGTCATCTATTAAATATAACAAAAAGCCTGGACAATCAAGACGTTGCTTTTGGGTGAAATGAACTTGGGAAATTCTGATGATGTCTGGCTGTCCCAGTAAGCATGTCTGTTTTCATAGTTTTGGAACACTGCAGGTTAAGTCAAAGTAAAGGCATATGCTACTGCATTTCTATACTCTTGCCCCTGGAAACAGGTGAGAGAAAAGATGAAAAAAATGATGAAAAGAATATGGGGCTGAAAAAATGAATGAAAAGGCAATAGAGTGGTGCTAGAACAGGGGTGTCAAACTCAGCAACTAAAGGGTCATTTTAAATAATCTCAATAAATCTGGTGGCCAGAGAAAAAAAAAGTTCATTAATGCATGGGCTCAATTTCTAAGCTAACATTAGGTGTTTATGTTGGTTGGACTGGAGCTGAAGTGCAGCTAGTGAGTTTGGTGATATGACTGGCGTGGAATTGCATGGAATTGTGTAGGACTGTGTAGAATTGAGGTGTAACCGCTGTCCCATAGACTGTTGTTGGGGTAGGAGAGTCAGAGTACATTATGTTGCAGTGCATGCTGGGGACTGCAGTACAGCGCATTGTGAAACAGGGTAATATTATTAGAAAATTAAAATACTTTTGCGGGCCGGATAGGATTGTGCGGCAGGCCTGATTTGGCCTGCGGGCCTTGTGTTTGACACATGGGTGCTAGAGTACGGCCAAAGGAAGTATTCATTGCTTACACTGATGACATTCTAGTGGTCAAGACTATAGCCAAGGCCAATGCCAAACTTAGTAAAGTACTAAAGGGCTGAAGAGACTTCAGCAGAAGTGCCTGAAACTGAATTAAAAATGTTTGCAAAGCCCAACCATCTAGGCGTTGGCTCTGTCATCAGGAGATCGTGGGTCTGATCCCTGGTGATGCTACAGCCGTTCATGGCCGGGAGTCCAAGAGAGCACAATTGGCCTCGCTCTCTGGGTGGGTAGGATGGCCCCCCGTCTCCCCCCATCACTCAGCGCAAGGCTAGTCAGCGCAGCATCTGTTAGTTGACATAACAGAAATGGTGGTAAGTGTTCTCCTCCGAGCGTGTTCAGCTGTCGAATGACTTTGCTTTAGTGGCAGTTTGAAAAGACGCGGTGGAGCTTCACAGGACTCGGAGGAAGCCTGTGCTGGCTTTTGCACTCCTAGCGCTGGTGGTATCAGTCCTAACTAAAGGGTGGAATTAAATATTGACTAATTTAGGAAGAAAACTGGGGAAAAAAATCGTTTGCAAAGGTCCAAGTTAACTTCCTTGGCCACATGATCAGTGCAGTGCATTTGACTCAAATATGATAAAAGCCATTATGCAAATGTCGAAGCCCAAAGACACTATGTAGGTAACGCAGTACTAACAGGGTTGATTAGGGACCTGAGAAGTTGAGGATGAATGGGCCTGGTTTAGCACACAACCAGAAGCTTTTGAGAAAGTAAATCAAGAACGAACCTCCTCTGCTGTTCTGGCACAGTACTGGCCAGACAGATGAGGGACTGGCAGGTGAATTTTCTTATGGATTCATGCGGTCCTATTTAGGCCCTTCAGGTTAGTGGAGACCCGTTTTTTTCATTTCACGCAGCATGAGATAGAAAAGGCCTGAAAATATAAGCAAACCTTGGACTGGCCTTTGTGATCAGACCACATCATAAACCTCATATAAGTCTTTTAAGTTAAAGATCACCAATCTCAATGTGTACTGCGCTCCTCCAACTACAGTGTGCAAGTTTCTGGCAAAAGTCTAATAACACCTGATGCTTTTTCAAGAGCTCTACTCGTTTGTTCTGACAGAGATGGAGCTGACACTCGAGAATGGCTTCAGAATTCATTTCAATCACATTTATCAACTTTTGCTGGCTCTGACACAAAACAGAAGTAAACAAGGCTCATGAAGTGGATTTTCCTCCAACACCCAGGATGGGACGGTAGAAAATCTGTGCCAGTGGTTCTCAAACAGGACAGAGAAAATGTGGAATGTGGAAACATGGACCTTTCAGTGGGCCTTGAGGATCGGTTTGAGAACAAATGGTCTATGCCCCCACAGATGAAAGACTTCTGACAACACAGTATCTTTGCAACAGGTCTGCTGATACAGGACAGGAGAATGATGATTCCAGCTAGTTTGCCGGAGGAAATTTTGGAAAAACTATCAAGGCCATCATGGAATCTCCAAGTTCTTACAGGCACCTTCAGCTTCACGTCCATGGCAGCAAAGTAGATGTGTTCCAGTGGACTAACGGGCATCGTTAAGTATAGTATACGGTCAATGGACAATGAGTACACCTACTCTGTACCAAATAAAGTGACTAGAAAGTGTAAACCCATGCATAAACAAAAGAGGTCACAGACAAAACTGAAAACACTACTCCATAATTGTAGAAATGTAGGGCCAGTTAACTGGTCAGTTCATGAGCCTGCCAGAGTAGTTAGAGACCAGCCTGTTCAAATTAAAGATGGCACTGTGAATCTGGGGCTGGTTGATACAACAACAGGGCATGTTCCGCACTGTGTGTTACTTTTTTCATTTTTAACCCACGTAGCCATTTTCACACCAAAAAAGGTTCTGCTACTGTGCGAAGTCAACAGAAGAACCATCTTTTGGTACTTTTTCAAAAAGGTTTTATGTAAAACCATATACAACACATTCTCTATCATTCTGAAGAACCATTTCACCATGCAGAGAAACATTTAAGCACAAAATGGTTCTATACAAAATTCATGGGTCTAAACAGAAACATTACCTTTACTAAAGAACCAAGAACCAAGAGTGTACTAGCAAAACAAGCACACAGGCACAGGAGCTAAGGGCTAACATTAGCCTATTCAGCAACAACTGGGCGAAGCTTGCTCCCATGTTTCATTACACATTCCTCGTCCTACAGTCCGAAGAGCGACCACCTCTACAGCGTCTCTGTGAGGGTCAATGAAACTCACAATAGAACCAATGTAACAGCGCTTACGGTCAACGGCGCAGCTCCTGCTTCTCTGCACCGCCAGGGAGGAAACTTCCCGCCCCTATGTCGACAAACCCCGCCTTCTCCGTTTTGAATGGCTAATTCATACGAGCAGTCCGCCGATTGGCCAGTATTGAAGTCGTTCACCGCACCGTAGCAACTACATCCAGAACGCGAGGTGGAGTTTGAGCCGCTCTTTCCATCAGTGTGGAAACAGAGCTCATGCTTTGCTCATCCATCACCAGAACCTCTTACAGTGATATGCTCGTGTTCTCCTGTTCTGTCCTGAGGGGGTTCAGTAGAAAGAAATCAGAAATCAGTGATCCTTCACTGGTACAGTGTTGAGATCTGCTTTATTTATTGGAGACAATCTTTTGAAAGACATGTTTGTCCTGTGAGACACTACGCTGGATTTTGGATGAGATTTTCCATCGAACCGGCCCAAAACTGTTTGATGTAATGTATGTTTATCTGTACCATCAGCGTCAGTTCACTGTGTTCCGTATTTTTAAGAAAAGAATATATGGGCATGCATTTTTATGTATTTGAAATACATTTCAAACACAGAACAGTGCATGCTGAAATATTATCCAAACACTAAAATGCATTTCAAAATATATTTCCACAGTAACCAAATATATTTTAAAATGCATTTATTTAAAAATGTATGGGGAAATATTACACCATACAAAAATGTATGTATGTAAATGTGTTTATCGAACCCATCTGAAAATGTATGAAAATATCCAAAATCCTGTCTGATGCTCTTCACTGTCTGATACCTTTAGAAATGAATTTGTATTCCAGTATCTTCATTTTAAATATGATCAAATGATCCTTTAACAGGACAGAAACGAGTGTTGTAGGTATTGATACTCCGTGAAAATGCATGATCTGATATCTTGTTTATTTGAAGTACATTGTGTGTGAGAGTCTGACTGCAGATGTACATGGTTAATGTAAAGTACAGTGCAGAGCACAGAAGTGCATTTAGTTACATCTGTAACCTTTATTACACACAACTGAACACAAAATAACAAATACTAATGAATGCATTTAATTTCAAGTGGAATTCCAAGTGCTTCAGTAGTGTTTATTTAAATGCTCCACAAAACATGGGTCTTCAGACAGCATTTGAACTCTGCTGTTTGGACAGTCAGTGGAAGTTTGTTCCACCACCTGGACTCCAGGACAGAGAAGAATAGTCTTGATGCTTGTATTCCACCAGGGTTGTGGTGGAGTTTGACAGGCTATACAATTGAGGACAAAAAGCTAGTGGTCATCAACCCTCCTCTTCGAGATCTACTTGAAGAGTTCAGTTATAGCCTGCATGTAACATGCTGCCCGCTGATGCATGTGATCCAGCCAATCAAGGTCTTCTGAAGAAGTTAATTAGCTGGAGCAGGTGTGGCAGACTGTGGTTGGAACTAGACTCTGCAGGAAGGCAGATCTCCAGGAGCAGGGTTGGAGACCACTGACTTAGGCTATAGATAACTCCTCACATTTTATGTTTCAATACACTTCCTCGGTCAAGTCAATCAGGGTATCTGCTTTTTTTTTTACATCAGAGGTAATTTTAAAACAGATTTATTTCAGCTTTAGTTCACTATATCTGATTTACAGTGGGTCAAATATTTACATATATCAAGTAGACTGTATCTTTAAACAGTCTGAAATATTACAGAAATTGATGTAATGACTTTTGGAAATTTGATTGGCCAACTGTCATCATTAAAAGTTAATCTTGGGGTTTTTTTGCCCTTAACACCAGGAGGGAAATCCAGGCAACTCAGGATGTCTGGACGTTTCTCAAGTAATAAACTGCAGCCTTAGAGATACTACTAATTTGAGACTCAAATCATAAACTGGAAACCAGTGTTACACCAAGACCTTTAACTGGAACATTTGGTTATAATGAAAAAACATCAAGGTCAAGGATAAAATCTCCATCTGGAACACTTCCCTTGTCTTTGTCTGCATTCCCTTCTTGTTTGCTTTCAATTTACATTTACGGCATTTAGCAGATGCTCTTATCCAGAGCGACTTACCAAAGTGCTTCATTGTCCACTCAGAGAATGTATCCTAATTAGTATGCACAGGTTATAAATAGGTCCAAACTACCCTTCAGCTCAAATACTGCCAGAAAACAAAAGCCAGTGCTGATGCCTGTAAAGAAAGACACAAAATACAGACCAAAGACATATCATAAGTGCAATACGATTTCAATAAATGCTAGATTAAGTGCTCATTTAATTGCTTCACCAAGAGACAGAAGACAGTGAGGGACTCTGCTGTTCGGACAGTCAGTGGAAGTTCGTTCCACTACCAAGACTCAAAAGGGGAACCCATCCTCTTCTGGTCGACACCGGATAGCAAACAGCGTTAGTAGAAAATATTAGAATACAAAACGGGGAAAAACAGGTGGAGCAATGGCAGCAGGAGGGTCCTATTCTAAGATGCTTTGATTGCAGCCCAGCTTTCTTGCTGAAGGTTGATGCCTCAGGAGAGGGTCTGGGGGCAGTTTTAGCTCAAGTCCAATGCTGAGCCAGTCACAGCATTAGGGAGCAGAAGCCCAGCTGAAAAATGATCTAACCTGCCCACATACAAGACTTCCTATGACAGAAATCCAACGTTAAGTCTTATTCACTCCATGTTTACTTATGTGGATCTGTACATTTCCCACACTACTTCTAGAATGGTATATTTGATAACAAAGAAATTATTAATAAACATGTTACAATTGCTCATAATTATTACTGTGATCAATACCTTTGGCGATACTGATAGTCATAACAAGGAGCAGCTCTGTGGAGCTCTACTGCCATCTTCTGGAGACAAAACAAGGCTGCTATTGATTAAGAAGCAGTCTTCTACTGAATGCTCAGCCATCATAACTCTGTGCTTGCACATATTATATTACATATAATGACATGTATGTTGTAATATTATAATGATATCATTATGGAAAGAGGAAGAGACAGGAGATGTTCTAATGTTGAAGTAGGGAACCCAGTTTATTAATTTCTGCAGATGTCAATTATTACTGATGTTCTGGCAAAAACATATCTATTGTTAACAAAGCTACACTGATGTACACTTTAAGAGGCCAATACAAAAACAAAGTACAGCAAGTAATTCAAATTTACCGCAGCCTTTTATTTGTGGAAAAATTAACCATTCTTAAACGTTGGCCATTTGTTTAAAATTCTAACTGCTAGCAATTCAAAAACAATTTAAAGCCACTTAGCTTGAAAGCAAAATCTACTCAGATATTTAAATTCAACATAACATTCACTAAATTGCTGAATTGTCCATGTCCAATGTATTTGGCAGAAAAACTCCTTTGGGAGGAACAGACTCAAAAGAAAACGTTTAATATGAAAACAGAAAATAGGTCAAAGTATAACTTAGCAAATTTGCTAACAAATTGTCATCAGTGTCGCCTATATTCAAATTCAACTAAGCTAACTCTATTTGTCAATGAAGAATATTAAAAAAAATAAATAAATAAACATAATGACCATGTTAGATTGAGAGAGCATGAGCTTTCCTCATCTCCTTTTGTTGACACTACAGTCTCTTACAGTGGAGCCTTAAGATGACGAGATCTCAGGGTCACAATCCTTTGTGAAGCAGATTTAACAGTTAACAGTTGCCCATAGGCTATTTCCTCTGGACTCCTGTAGGCATTCTCCGAGGCCTATGATATGTTCTGATATCTGTGGACTATCTGGGAAACATTCCTCACGGGGACTCAATACCAGACTTCAATGGCTTTTCAATACATTTTGCCCCACCACTTTAGAGGTGTGCTGCCACCACTGGTACATGTTTAAACAAATCATAAGTAACTAAAAATACAAAACTAAAGCAGCCATTAAGGCACAAGTACAATCACATCTATGCATAGGAATCACAAAAACACAATCATATGGGCATCACACAACCAAACTTTTTTGTCTTGCATTATTCATGATTGGCCTTTATAAGACTCGTTTTAACTTGTAAAAGTTTAAAGTTTCATCATAAAGGTTAACCTTCAAAAAGTAATCAAGTGGCCAATAAACTGGCAAATAAGGCCTTGTTCAAACTGCTGGCCCAAATCAGACTTTTTGGCAAATCCAGATTGAGTTTTGATAGTCTGGACAACAAAAAACCATGACATCTGATTATTCCACATTTGGAGGTGTCTGAAATGCCAATCAGATTTTGTTACCGATGCGTCTGGATGCTCTGGCTGCTCAAAGCGTCTTTTGCATCACTTGAAACGTGAGTGTCAGCAACAATGTCAAAACCAGCTGACTGAAGTGCTGGGATTCAAGAAGAGCTCCAAAGATTCATGTTTATGCCAGAGAATTTCTACTCATACACGCTATAGAAGAGAACAACAGTTTGTGGACTGACGCGTCTTCTTGCACTTCCATACAAGCAAAAGGAACCTACCGGAACAAGTCAATTTGCCAACAAATATCTCGTAGCTACATAGTTACTGATGCCTACGTCATTACCACAGCAACCCATGCAGATAGGTTAGTGATGTCTGGACACAAATACGATCCGATCACTTGCACATAACAGTGTGGACAGTCATCTCAAAAGATCTGATTTAAGAAACAAATCCAATTTGCCTGCAGTCTGAACACAGACTTAGTATTTCCATAATGAACACACGATAATACAGGCATACAACTCAAAACTTTAGTCCTTTTTCCTACAGTATTAACAACTACTTTCTGACAAACATACGTCATATGTTTCTGTTTCCTTCTTAATACATTTGTGTGTCTTCAAAGTGCTTGAATGCCTGAAGCTTTTCTCGCACTCTGAGCAGTAGTACGGCTTCTCTCCTGTGTGAATGCGCTGGTGTAGTAGAAGATTACTGTGTCGATTAAAGCTCTTCCCGCACTCTGAGCAGTCATAGGGTTTCAGTCCGGTGTGAATGCGCTGGTGTATTTTGAGAGTACTCCGACTAGTGAAGCTCTTCCCGCACTCTGAGCACTGATATGGTTTCTCTCCTGTGTGAATGCGCTCATGTTTTCGGAGAGTGCTTCTGTCTCTGAAACTGTTTCCACAGTATGAACAGTAACAGGGTTTCTCTCCAGTGTGGATGCGCTGGTGTAGTTGGAGAATGTTCTGTTGAGTAAAACTCTTCCCGCATTCCGAGCAGTAATACGGTTTCTCTCCTGTGTGAATGCGCTGGTGTCGCTGTAGACTACAAAGCTGGGTGAAGCTCCTCCCACACTCTGAGCAGTGATACGGTTTCTCTGCAGTGTGAATGCGCTGGTGTATTCTGAGAGTACCTCTTTCTCTAAAACTCTTCCCACACTCTGAGCAGTGATACGGCTTCTCTCCCGTGTGAATGCGCTGGTGTGTTTTGAGATTACTCTCAATATTAAAGCTCTTTCCACAGTCTGAGCACCGATACAGGTTCTCTCCTGTGTGAATGCGCTGGTGTAGCTGGAGATAACTCTTTTGATTAAAGCTCTTACCACAGTCTGAGCAGTGGTGAGTTTTCCTCTTGAGTGTATTACTCTGGATTTGTCCGTCAGGTGTGACCGTATGGGCCGAACCAGATGATGTTTGCTGAGTACTGGACGTTTTTTTTGGTGCCATTATCTCATCTGTAATGTCTCCGGAAGTGTTGCTCTTGTTGGCATTCCCTGAAGATTTCTTTGGAGATAAATGCAAACTGGCCAGGAAGATGGAAACTATGAGCAGGAAATGACTTGAACCAGGACGTCATTCATTTCTGGAAAGGAAAAAGGACAAGAAAAAAACTAAAGTCAAAGTGAAATGCAGCACAAGTAACAGATTTATTGGAAGAGTTCTAAGAGTTTTATGATTTTTATTCTATGTATTTCAAATTTTCATTTTGGGCCAGTAACAGGGCTCAGCCTGAGCAATAGATCTCAGATGGTCAAGGCATGAGAAGATGACACTGGAATCGCTAGATATGGCAAATAGTTCAAACTGGTCGATCAGCATTCCTAGAAAGAAACTCAACAGTAAAGCATGACAAGTTCAGCTCTTTGATTTTTACAGTTCTGTCTTAATTGTAGCACAGGGTTCAGTGTCCAACTGTACAACTAAGGATTGGTGGAAATCTGAGAGAAGCCAAATGAAAAGCAGGGATCACCGTTAAGGAGCGGGTTAGAGTTGGCATGTTCTACAGAAAGACCTTCAAGAAATCTCAAATTATTCCAGCTGAGCAGCACAAAAACATCTCCTCCTCTGACAGTTGTGGGAAGGAATATCAGAGCAATATGAGGATCTTAAAAGAGGTCAGCAATGAGGCAAATTCACCAAAGCCCATTATAACCTTGGTGGACTTGAGATCAGCTGAGGCCCTCCTGAGAACTGGATGCACGTATACCTTTGTGCAGAAGATCAAAAACCCTCAAGAAAAGCTACAACCATGTCTCAACTCTTTGTTTAGATTAGTAAATGGACATGTTAACTCTTTTGGAGTATGTAAAATGCATATAATGAAAAACCTGAAAGCCAACAGATTTTATCTTCTCAGCCGTTGTAGTGGATTTTTTCGAACATTATCAGGAATCATCCTAAATTTCAAAAAAGCACAGTATGTTCTATCAAAAGGCACACAGTACTGTTATTATCCTTTTGACCAACAGAATTCACTAGAGTTCTTACTCTACCCAGCACTATCTAACTACTCCAGTTTCCTTGTCCCTGCAGCATGGTTACAAAATTCCGAGGTAGTGGAGAGACTAGAACATCATCCTCAGCACAAGTGGCCGTCAGTATGCGTCAGCACTTACTCGTTTTTCCACTGGGCAGTGCGGCATGGCACAGTTTGATTACTAATTCTAATCCAGAACTCTTGGTCCATTGGTCGAGTTCCTGAGCCCATTTCCCATTGCACAAAAGAGCTGTGAAAGATAGGGTTCTCTGTAGGTTGTGTGGTGGTCATATAGTTTCCCTCGCAAAGCTGGTGTTACCAGTAAACACAAACAGCACCAACAACGAAGGAGCTTTAAGCTGCGATTTATCTTGTACTCAGCATTTGGTTTCATGTATAGATCCTCAGGCAGGTGATTCTAGTGATTCGTGATGATTCTGTGACAGCTTCACTCAATGAACTGCACCATTTCTAGCTCCACTCAATATTCTGGCTTGGCATGCTTGGTCGCTGGAAAGAAGAGTAATCAAATACATCATACGTCCAATAGTGTCCAAAAACTTGGTGTCGTCTCGTCTCTAAAGTTGATGAATACTTTTCCAGTACTGAAAAAAGATCATTAGAACAATTGGGATTAAAAACTGATGGTTTTGCTTCTAGTGGGAATTGGCTTAATGGTGAACACTAGTTTCCTGTAGAACACCTTTATATCCCATTAGGAAACCATCAAATGTATCAGTCCTAGAGCACTTGTTAAACTATTAGAGCCATTAACACTGATATCAAACACAGAAATATCATTAGTGATTAATGGACACCACCAGGAAACAAGAATCCCTTCATGGCTTCTATGGTTTTTACAGCAGAGATGCATCTTTGAATTTCTTGAAGAAAAGAGCAGAGTTTCAGAACATCTTTGAGAACTTGAGGGAGGCGCTTTCTATTAAGCCTTGCTGTTTTCAGCCCTGATTTACACTAACATTTCAAGGCTGAAACATACCCTAATTATATTACTGGCTAAGTATTATCTACACCGATCAGGCATAACATTATGTCCTTGTTTCTACGCTCATTGTCCATTTTATCAGCTCCACTTACTATATAGGTGCACTTTGTAGTTCTACAGTTACAGACTGTAGTCCATCTGTTTCTCTGCATACTTTATTAGCCCCCTTTTACCCTATTCTCCAGTGGTCAGGACCCCCATGGACCCTCACAGAGCAGGTACTATTTGGGTGGTGGATCATTCTCAGCACTGCAGTAACACTGACGTGGTGGTGGTGTGTTAGTGTGTGCTGCGCTGGTCTGAGTGGATCAGACACAACAGTGCTGCTGGAGTTTTCAAACACCTCAGTGTCACTGCTGGACTGAGAATAGTCCACCAATCAAAAATGTGTGGGCAGTGTCCTGTGACCACTGATGAAGGACTAGAGAATGACCAACACAAACTGTGCAGCAGCAGATGAGCTATTGTCTCTAATGTTACATCTGCAAGGTGGTCCGACAGGGTAGGAGTGTCTAATAGAATGGACAGTGAGTGGACACAGTGTTTAAAAACTCCAGCAGCACTGCTGTGTCTGATCCACTCATACCAGCACAACACACTAACACACCACCAGCACATTAGATCGGTGTATGCATGGGTAAGGTGGGATATGATAAATATTTTATGAAAGATGTGGAGAGCTGTATATCTATGTCCTGCAATAAAAAGGCTGTGAATCATGGAACTTATTCTCAGAGTCCGGTATTTTGGAATAAAGCTCATATCTATCTACATATTTGCTGTTTGTTTCTTTTACATTGTAACTCCAATAGCGCTCTTCAGTGTATGGTTATGTTTTGGTCTTTGCTTGTAGCTCCATGATTAATTTGCATGATCAGATGGTTCTTTGCATGGTGAAATGGTTCGTCAGATAGCTGGAGAATGTGTTGTATATGGTTCTATATAGACCTTTTTGAAAATGGTTCTAAATAGCACCAAAAAGAGTTCTGCTATTTTCCCAAGCTTGGCATCGTAAGAATAACATAAACCCTTTTGGTTCTATATAGAAAAAATTCTAACACATTTTCCATCCAGCTGAAGAACCACTTCACCATGCAAAGAACCCTTTACGCATACAAGCAGCCAAACCAACCAGCCAATCACACTGAGACTGAAGCACGGCGGCTCCAGGCTGACTGACGTCCTGCTTCTCTCAGGAGGAGAACATCTCCAGTCGGTTCTGTCGGTGTAAACAGTGTAAACAGGGTAGAAACAGGGTCTCCTTACTTTCAGCGGTGCAGCTCCTCTTTCTTTCACCCCACCAACCCACAGGAGCAGTTCTTCTTCTCCGCTTTGGTGGGACTGGAGAACCACAGCGCCACCTCCTGGCCTGCAGGCGTCATGTTTTTGTTCCAGCCCGGGGCACGTTCACTCAGAACAGGTTTATGGGTCACTCTCGAAATGTTGTGCAGCGTTTCGCCCCGGTTTACGGTTTGAACGACATGTTTCGTCGAAACGGGCTTTGAGGTGCGTTTTTTCTTGTTTGGTGGGCGTGTCAGAGGTGTTAGCCAATCAGCAGAGACGTGTATGTGGGTCATTCTACAGAAACGTCCACTTTTCTATCTGTCCATAGGAGTCACTGGTGTTCCTGATCTTCATTGGTGTTCCACATAATAAAGGAACACCAGAGACATTTTAATGAACAATACATTTTACAGAGTGGCTGCTACAGAGCATCAAACCACATGTTGTCAATCATGGAATATCCACTAAAATATGGAATTTAATCCATTTGGATTCTATTTGTTCACAATTACCTCAGAATAAAGTCGGTCACACCACTGACTTCAGCTAAAAGCTTCATATGAAATCATGAGCTAAATGAGAAAATCTCTGATAACTGAAAGACACAGTGGACTCACCATGAGCTTTTCTTCATAGATCCTCAGAAAACAGGTAAAAGGAAGTCAAGTGATGTCAGATAGATAGATAGATAGATAGATAGATAGATAGATAGATACTTTATTGATCCCAAAGGAAATTTAGCAGCCAGTATCAGTCACACAACACAGCACAGTTATAATAACAAGGCTGAAACAATATAAAAGGAAGAATAAATATAAGAAAAGGTCCTATCTACAGTCATATATACAAATAGAAATATACAACAATCTGCAATAAGATCTGTAACCTGAGATGAAAAAGGCAGTGCAGTAACAGCATATAATGACAATACTGAATAAATATGTGCAGATATTGATACTGAAATAAAGTGTCCAGGTGCGGAGTGTCCAGATGTGCAAGATACACGATAGGGGCAACAGAAAGTGCAATTGTACAGTAAGGTGTTCATATGTGCAGATGGATAAAATGAACCTATGATTTAACATGAGATTCAGATTCAGTCCTCATCTCTCCTCTTCCCTCTTCTCTCTTCTCTTCTGGCCCCACTGGGAAGAGCTGAAGAGCCTGATGGCTCTGGGGACAAAGGATCTCCTGAGTCTGTCGGTTGAGCAGCTCTCTGACAGCAGCCTGCCACTAAACATGCTCCTCCCTGTCCATGATGATGGTGTGCAGCAGGTGGCCACCATCCTCCATAATGGAGAGCAGTTTGTGTAATGTCCTTCTCTCGGTCACCTTAACTACAGTCCAGTTCCACACCGACCACTGACCCCGCTCAGCCTGACCAGCTTGTCCAATCGCATCTCGTCTCTCTTTTTCATGCTTCCTCCCCAGCACACCGCAGCATAAAAAAGACAGCTGGCAACCACAGATCGAACATCTGCAGGAGCTTCCTACAGATGTTGAAGGACCCCAGCCTCTTCAGGAAGTAGAGCCAGCTTTGCCCCTTCCTGTACAGGATGTCTGTGTTGGCTGACCAGTCCAAACTATCATCCAGTTGCAGTCCGAGATACCTGTAGTTTATAACCCTCTCCACTTCAACCCCCTCAGTAGAGACTGGCTGTGATTTTTATTTCAAAATAAGAGTTTTTTGTTACACAGTAACACCAGTGACATGATTCCTGGGTAAACAACTTTCATTATATATTTTATAATATTTATTTGTCATTTGTTTTCCTTATGTCACTTAATATTTTAAATTATTATTATTATTATTATTATTATTATTATTAAAATTGCAGAAAAACATGTTTTTTACCTCAAAATATGGCCTCAAACTTTACACATGACTGTGGGGACGAGATCTTCTGTGGTGCTTGGAATTCTAGATAATTGATTTAAAAACCAATATTGCTAAATTGAGGCTCAAGAAGGTGTAATTGCTAAAATAACTTTTTGTTTTATTTAAAAATGTAAATAAATTGTAACCCTAACATTTTTAAGTGTCTGTATCTGTAAACGATAGAGACACCAAAATGGACGTTTCTGTAAAATGACCCATATAAACCCCGCCGTGTTAAAAAGGCAGTGCACTCAATGGATTCTAATAAAGTCTCTACAAATGCAGGCACTGCAGCTTGGTGTACAGTATTGAAGACGTTAGAAGACGTATTTTGAAGTATTCAAACTCATTTCATCAGGCTCTGAAAAAAAGTCAAAAAATGTCAGTACTCTGGGTGGTCCGATGGTGGACCAACAATGGCAAACAGTCAGCGGGGTGCCGACCTTATCAAGCCAGCGGACCGATATATGCTCATTGTCTGGGACATATCAGCTACCCTGATAGCAAGAGGATAGTGGACCGTTATTCTACACCTGCTGAAAATATTATAGAAACCATTCAGTTTAATGGTTAAATGAATTCTGCTGGTTCCTGGAGGCGTCCAGTAGTCAGTTCTGTGTGTTTTCCTGATGGGCTGATATCACAGTGTAAAGGACTCTAATGGTATAACAGGTGTTCTCATGGTTTCCTAATGGGATCTGAAGGTGTCCTACAGGAAACTTGTGGTCTCTAATTGCAACCATTAGACCAATTCATATTAGAAAGCAAAACCATCAGGTGGTTCTAATTGTCTTTTTTCAGCAGGGTATGTTAATTCGTGGCCACGCCTTGTTAAAAACGATCCCCATGTCACCTTAGGGATTTCTTAAGGTGCTCATGAACGCTGCATTACAAACACGTATAGGCCCCGCCCATCGACAAACTGTCCCCGCCCACTGATAATCGCTCCGCCCCCGCCCCGCCCAGCAACACGCTGTTTACGTTCAGCACCATAGAAATCAGCTGCGTCGCGGTTACAGCTGCAGTCAGTCGGGGGGGATTCGCGTCTGGGGAAGTGTCTGAATGAAAAGCCGGGCTGGATGAAGGGAAACAGCCGTTTGTGCGGGATTATGGAGCTTATCACCCCGCTTTGACGCCATGGGGTCACATGGAGGAGCATTATACCCGGAGCTGGTCAGCTGGCTGTGGTGAGTGGGCGACAGTCTGGCTTCTTTACTGACCCCTGTTCTCTTTCTCTCTCTTTTATTCATGTTCTCCGCGTTCTGAACTCGTTTATCCTGGTGCTAAAGGCTTACTCGTGGAACCAGAAGGTACATTAGCACTCTCTGTCCTTACTCGAGGCTGAAGTTCGCTTCCTGTTCGCCGGTTTCTCCTTCGAATTATCCGTTCCACCTTAAATGGTGCGGCAGTCACAGTCTGGCGCCTCGAGAGACGCTGGCGAGTGTATGGAACTGCTGTGCCGTTTAAGGTGGAACGGGAAATTGTAACGAGAAGCTGGCGATGGAGAAGTTTACCACCAGAATAAATAAGTTCAGCCTGACTCTCCTGTTTTTGAGAATCATCCCTGCTGAAAAACCCATAAGAACCATAAAGTGTTGGTTCTGCTGGTTCCTGATGGTTTTGTAATGTGTTTTGTCTTTTTTAATGGGTTGGTATCACAGTCTAAAGGATCCTAATGGTTCAACAGGTGACCAATGACTGATTCTAAATGCATTTAATGGTTTCCTAATGGGATCTAAAGGTATCCTACAGGAGATTAGTGGTCTCTATTACAAACCATTAAACCAATTTCCATTAGAAAGCAAAGCCATTAGGTTTAAATCCTCATGGTTTCTAATGGTCCCATTTCAGCAAGGTAGTCGACGCAGCAGCGCCCTGATTTGTCCTGTTTTGCACATTAGCTGCTGCTAATTCTGTAAAGCAGGGCAGTGAGTAGAGCTGGTCACCGTGTAAAAGCTTTTAGTTTAGCTTTGGGAGTCTTTGCAGGCCTGAATGCTGCTCTGTAACCCATTAAAGTGACGCCAAAATTAAGAATGGAACCATCACTGCTTCTGCTGTGAATCTGCCTATTCCCCAGATGTCCAGCATATAACGGGCCTCTGGCTTGATCTGGTGGCACCAGCTGACTGTACGCCACTGCTGGTCCATTTTCGGACCACCCAGGTTACTGCCCTGCAGACAAGCTCTAACTAGTTTTTAATCTCTTCAAACAGTTTTTAAATGCACAGAGACTTTTATTTTATTTTTTTTAACTAAAACAAATATTACAATCAACTGAGAAAGAAAAAAATAAAGACTAGGCCTGATATACAGTGATTTTATAGAAAGTGTTGTTGCTGACACTGAAATGAATGATGAATAAAATGATTTACTAAATTAATTTACAGAGTATAACTAAAGAAAGGAAGGAAAAATCAGTAAACTGGACTAGGAGTGGAAAATGAGTGATGATCAGTGAATTTTTTTCTAATACTCTGCTTAACCACTAGTGGACCGCCTGTAAAATGCTGAGCAGAACACCAGTGGACCACCAGCTCTGCCATCAGTGGGCCGACAGTGGCCCACTATCCTCTTACCAGCACGGACCCTCTGACTACCCAGATTACTGTCCTGCACACAAGCTCTAGTGTTTTAATCTCCTCTAATAAACTAAACTAGATTTTGATTTTTAGTTGAAAATGTTGTTGCTGACTCTGCGCTAGATTAGGTTACAGCTATATAACCGGCTTTATTTATGACATTACTGTTAAAGTTATTCACTAAGCTAATTTTTAAAGAATAACAAAACAAAGAAATGAAGGAGAAATCAGTAAATTGGCCTGTGAGTGGAAATGGGTGATGAAAAGTTGCTTAACCTCCAGTGGGCCAGCCAGAAAGCGCTGAGCAAAAAGCCAGTAAACTGCCAGCTTTGCCATCAGCGAAACAACAGTGGCCCAAAAACCTCTCAGTCTCTGGGTCGTCTCCTACTGAGAGGTTTTAAGGTTAAAAGACTAAACCCCCTTTTCATGATGCATCTTGAAGGTGGGAGGAGCTTTTGAAAAATGGGTGGAGTACTGGGGGGCGGGCTGTTTGAATTTGCCCACTGGCTGCTTAACGCTGAAGGAAGCCGAATGTCAGGTCTGTATTTACAAGCCTGTAGCTCAGTGCTAGGCTAGCAGTCAGGACTGG